CCTCGCCGGCTATTATCGCTGTTTCATATTCAACTTTTCGGATTACAAAACCACTGACCAAACTTTTGAAGAAAAACGTTCCTTTCTCATGGAAATTCGAACAACAAGAGGCGTTCCTTCCTAAGGACAGCTCTATGCCAACAGCCTATTCTTCAGTACCCGGATTTTTCAAAACCATTTATACTCACCACCGATGCATCGAACACAGCCGTAGGCGGAGTTCTTAGCCAGGGGATTATTGGACAAGACCTCCCTACAGCATATGTGTCTCGCGTGCTAAACCCCGCTGAAATAAATTACTCTACCATAGAAAAGGAACTTTTAGCCATTATATACTGTACACATTATTTCCGATCTTATCTATATGGACATAAATTTTCTCTTATTACCGATCATCAACCTCTTACTTGGCTTTACAAAGTGAAAGATCCTACCTCGAGAGAGTATGATTATCAAATTTTGTATAAATCAGGATCCGCGAATCATAACGCCGATGCTCTTTCTCGGAATCCCCAAGTTTTGGCCGTTGTAAACTCGCCTGCCGAGATAATCGAGCTCCTATCGCCAGAAGAAGATTCAGAACCACCCTCACCCACTCAATCTCAATTTGAAACCCTTGGCGAATCTAGCGAAGGAGATCAATCCCAGTCTCCTCCTCCCGCATCCAACATCATAGAAGGAAGCTCAGAATTAGGGGGAGATTCCATGCCATTCGTCGTGTCTCCTGCTGATGGAGCCGAGATTCAGTTACCTCCTGCTGACAATAACGAGTTTGACGAACAAACTAGCGAATCCGATTTATCGGATGAAGAAGACAATAAAGCAATGTATCAGCATCTTACTCGAGCTAGAATACAAACTATTCGAGACAGATTATCTATGCAAAAGGATAATTTGGTTATTTTAACAACAGTTGATGGACACCCATGCGATAATGGAGCTAAAGAATTTCGAACTCCGTAAAATTCCATCACTGATAGACTTGACTCTTGGTCACGCGCGGGTATGTGGAGTTAATAATAAAAATTTAATCATACTATCGGTTAAAGAAAGACTCACCACTATTATGGATTGGAACATATTTCAAGAGACAATTCGTTCTTTGTTGGATGTAACAATCGAATTTCAATTGAATTCTTTTAGTATAGCAAAAACCCAATAATTAGACGATACACCTTGGCCATTAATCGTTGAAGAACGGTTTAACTATGGTCTCCCTTAAAGAAGAAAGACCAAACATCATCAGTGAATATCATCGATCAACTGTAGGCGGACACAAGGATGTGACAAAACGTATCTTAGGATTCGTCAAGATTACTATTGGAATAATATCAAAATCCAAGTCCAAGAGTTCATACGAAATTGTCGCAAATGTCAACTGAAAAGACTAAAAACGAAACAACGTTCTTCGATGGTTTTTTCTTCTTACTGATACGGGAGCTGCATTTGATAAGGTCGCGATGGATGTGATGGGCCCTCTGCCCAAAACTAGACGTGGTAATAAATATATTTTAACGATACAAGACTTACTTACTAAATATTCGATCGTCGTATCAATGGAAGATACAAGCGCAACAACAACAGCGGAAGCATTCGTCGATCACTTCATTTGCCGGTTCGGATGCCCGAAAGCCATCTTAACCGACCAAGGATAACAAATTTCTTAAGTTATCTTAAAATATCGCCAAACGCTTTAGGATCAAACACTATCGTACTTCTGCCTATCATCCACAAGCTAACGGGTCCGTCGAACGTTCCCATCACATTTTTATAGAATACCTAAAGACTTTCGTCGACAGAAACGAAGAATGGGATAAGTTTATGGAGAGAGCTACATTTTCATATAATACAAGTGTTCATGAAGGCACAAAAACGCCTCATGAATTAGTATTTGGGAAGGTGGCCAGGATTCCATCCAGTCGTCAGCCTGTAGAAGGAGGAGTGGAAACGTATCAACACCACTTGCTTGAGCTTTTTGATCATATAAGTGAAGCACAAGAAATCGCTAAAACCAATTTGGAAAGCTCAAAACGTTATTACGACAGAAACTTAAATCAAATAAATTTTCACGTTGGCGACTATGTATTCTTAAAAACAGAGAAGAAAACTAATAAATTTTCGGATGAATATTCCAGCTCCTATAAGATCCTGGAAATCCTTGACCATGAAAATGTACGCATTCAATTTAAAGACACTATCAAACTGGTTCACACTAATAAGTTACGATTGTCTCACATGACTGATCCCGGTTGAAACTCCGAACCATTTTGAGTACTGGATTACCTCTTTAATGTCTGTATATACTTACAAATGTTCACCATATCCTTGGTGCTACTTCTGATTAAGACTGCCTCCGGTCTATTTGGATATGATTGCGGAGGGACGTCATTCAATGTAACTACTGTATCTTTGCTGGACATAGGCGAATGCCATATCACGGATTCCCGACCCAACTATTGCTGCAAGTCGCCGATTACTCGCAGATAGGCGTCATTTGCTGCAAGATAGAAATCGATCGACAAATATTCCATTGCGAAATGCACATATCTCCATGGTGCGTGGAGGTCATAGAAAATATCTACTAGAACTTGACCAACACAAATGCGCTCGTCTACACGAAACGGGTTCTATCGTTCTGGGAATTCCGTCTCTATCATTGGATTGCTCCTCAATGCCACCAACTATCGGATCGTCACTTTAGCTGGTACTACCAACATGGACGGTTCCTGTAAGGGAAGCCATTTCTCGGATCCATACGGGACTTGGGACGATGTCATCGTCGAAGCCGCCGTTACCATTACACTGCGAGATTATTTTGCACCTGCAAGAACAAAAACAGATTATATTACGTTCCGCTCAGGAATTCAATGCATGCTTTCAAGGAACGAATGTATCGACGAAGACGTGGGAAATATATATTGAGCCCCTCTACCTGTCGACGTGTAACTTCCATGCTTATAATGTCTTGTATCAAGGTCAAGCTTATAAAATAACTGATTCGAACACTCAATACTCTATTGTATACTCATTAATAACAAAAGATGTCACTTTTGCTTTATCCAAAAAATCTGAATATAACGTGTGTGGCTATACCTTGATACAAACCGAACATCCTAAATTACTAATCGTAGAAACAAATAAAAATAATCTCTTTGCTAAATTCACCAGAATCTCTGTCGACAATTTAGATATTTTCACTTACATTAACTCTAAAATAACTCTAAATAACTCTAAATTTGTTTACGTCGAGAAACATTTAAAGACACAAATGCAAGACCTATACCATAACATTCTTGAACAAAAGTGTAAATTAGAACAACAGGTTTTGAAAAACGCTTATCGATAGCTCATACCCAACCTGATGTTTTTGCATACAACTTAATGAAAGGTCCTGGCTACATGGCTACTATTTCGGGTGAAGTAGCTCATATTATTAAGTGCGTCCAATCGAAGTTACACGTCGCACCACCGAAATCTGTTATTTAGAACTAGTATCTTTACAAAATAGATCTATGTATTTATCTCCTAAAATTCACATTTTAATTAATAGCGGTATCGCCGATCGACTGCAACCCTCTCATACCTGTTATGTATCAGATAAAAGGAGGCTGGATAAGTCTTACTCCTAACCTGCTGCAGTACTGTCACCTCAGACCTTAGAACCAATGACTAAACCCGTCTGGAAATATGTTGACGTTGAGCATCTTGCTGATAGTGGAATTTATTCCCAGGAAGATCTCTCCAGGGACCACATCATGTTCCCTGTCGAGAGTACCGCTCTCCTCAACACTTTCGCACGGACTGCAGCCGGACAACGCGTCCCTTTGGCGGGCATCTCCCTCTCAGGTTTTCTCGATGAGCAAACCCTTGATAAAATAGCTACCTCTGCCGGTGAAAAATTGTGGGGTGGCTTTCTGAAGTTTGGGACTGCCAGTGCGGGATTTATTGGTATCTGGATGTTGATAAGGCTCATTAAATTGATTGCAGACACTGCGATACACGATTATGCACTTCATTCAGTGTATGGATGGAGTTTGCACCTACTAGGAGCAATTTTCTCCTCTATTACAAACCTCCTGCTGTACTTAGGGAAACGCAGCCATCCTGAGTCGTCTCCTCAAGCAGTTGAAGAAGGAACCTCAAACGAAACTTATGCCCGCATGGACAAATCTCAACCTGCAGCACGCATGTCCTTCCATGAAACTCAGCTATTATATCCAATCGTAGCAATCGAAATGAAACTTCGTAGGGGAATAAACCAGCGCGGAGCCACCTCCAATAACGTGGAAGATTCCGTCGAGCGCAACGCATGCGCAACTTGCAAGGAAATTCATTAAAGTAAGTGCAGCAATCAAATAGACGCAAACGTGTTACTTATAGTATGTGCAAGATTTCTACCAGAACAGCTAATGAAAGTGACTTTATAAGAAAGAGCCTCAACGAACAATCAGTGTTCATATAATCTTGCGTCTATAGTTCCCATAAACTATTACTATAAGTGACTCAAATCTCACCCTGCATTAAGCTCTCAGAAGTAAATAACGTGTTTCTCCCATTATTTACTTTCTTAAGGAGGGGGTGTAACGTCCGCAGAAAATTAAAACTTGCAGACGTTCATTCAAAATGATGGTGCAGTCGAACCTTAGGTTAACGCATGCGTAACTTTAAATATTAAGATATAAGATTCTAAATATTGAGATTTTAAATATTAAGATATATAATTTTAAATATTAAGATTTGAATATTAGGATATAACTTTCATCATTTTATAGTCTTACCATTTTATATATATATGTTCCTCTTTTTTTTATATATATAATTCTTATTATTATTAAAATAATCAATGGTAAAGCGAGAATTCATTTTCCTTCGTCTCGCGATAAGACATAATTTTATTTTATTACCATTATTATTGTTTTCTTTTGGAAATATAATCTGGGAATATAATTCTATAATTTATTTAATTTTCTTTTCTCGTATCGTCTCTTCTTCAGTTCTCGATGTTACAATTGTAGAAAAGACGAGAGAGCGTTCGATGATCTTTAGTTTACACAAAAGGGGAGGCTTATCGCACTCAAATCTTTCTAACGTAAACTTTCAAACGAAGGAGAGCCTTTCGTTGCGCAACAAAATTTAACCGACGACGAAAATGAATTAAATGAATTCTCATTTTGAATAATAAGATTTATCTTTAAGCATTAATGATATCTTCGAAAATATTAGGTTTAGTTTTATCTTTCTCCTTTCTCTTTCTTTTACTTTTCCTATTTTCTCATAAATAATTGTAGTACAAAATAAATGCTCAGTCGAGGAGTGCTTTGTTTGCCCCTCCCCTTTGCGCCTGGCCCTACCCTAGACGGCTTGGGCGCGGACGGGGCAGTGGTGAACGAACCTCCGAAGAAGATAGTCGTTACCAAATTGTCAGAGAGTCCAGTCACTATCTCAAACCGCTGAATCTTATAATTACAAAGGAAAAGTAAAGGAAAGGAAAACGAAATCATTAGAATTCTAATATATTTAATAACTTGCCTCTAACAATTTAAGGTAATCATCATTTTTAATACTATTTGGAATATTATTTGATTTTCTTATATTATATTATTTGATTTTCTTATATTATATTATTTGATTTTCTTATATTATACTATTCGATTTATTTAAATTATATTACTGACTTTCACTTCGTTTCAATATCATTATCTACATAAATTTCAAAGATAACTTAGAATTTAATTATCATATTCACATCTCATTATTATTACATATTTCATATTTTTATATTGATTAAGTTGTATTTCATTCATATTATTATTACATCTACATCAGTCTATGTTCAACGCCACCATCTCGTTTTAGTATATATATATATATATATATATATATATATATATATATATATATATATATATATATATATATATATATATATA